GAGAGCTGGGGCTACAGTGGGACATTTTCTCTTTGACCTTTGTGTCCTCTGGGTTTAACATCGTGCCTCAAATACTGTTAATGTTCAAAAAAACTATGCAGAAATGAGTAACAACCAATGTTTGTCATTAACATTTTGTTTCAATGATTATCTAGACTGAATTCTTTCAGGGTAAGGGCTTGCTTTTATAACTTGAGTCCTGTAAACAGTTACATTAAATTAAAGGTGATTATAGAATTACAGAATGAAGTGTATTTTTATGAATAAGACATTGGAAAGAAAGAATAGAAGGGAAAAAAACAATGCTGTCTGCTACATATAGGAGCAAACCTCGACGAGCTCTGTGCTTGTTGCTTGTAACTCTTGTTGCTCAGTAACTCTGAGTGGGAGCCCAGTTTCCAGATGGGGAAACTGAGGCTCTGAAAGTTGACTGCCTTGCCCAAGGTGACATGATTAGCTGGCAATAACACCTAGAGCTGACATATTCCAAAACCCATACTCTTTCCATAACCCCATGTGAAAATAAAAAGGAAAAAACAACCTCTATGTTCTTATTTCCATCATAGAAAACTCTGATCTGGGCAAACTTTTCTTTTTCTTTTTAAATTTTCTTTATACTTTTACTTTCTTGTCTACACAATTCCCAGCTTAAGTGAAGACCTGAATAGTAATACAGTGCTGGGTGGGACTGGGCTGCCTTTCCCTGGTCTTCACTCTGACAGCATCTCCTGCTCAGAGATGGCCAAGCCTGTTCCACTGCCTTGTGCAGTTTTAAGTGCAGTTTTAAGCCCTCACCTGCCTCTCGCCGTTCCCCCCGCCTTTTTTCCTGCAGACTGCCCTTCTGGATATATCATTGCTAAACAACCTTTGGAAATGTCACTTTCCTCTTTGTGCTGGCCACTGTATTAAAGCATTTTAACTTTAAGGGTTTTAAAATGGCATAAACTTTTGATTAATTATATCAAGAACTTTTCCATCAATACAATTACCAGAATGCTTTTAATTTCTCCCCCGTACATTGAATGACATTTTATGGCCAGTGTGGGTTTCTAGCTCAATCCACCCCACTATCATTATTGTAAAGTTTCTTGCTAAGAAACCTCTCTTCCAACATTCAAAGGGTGAGATAAAAAGAATTGTA